CATACCAGTGTCCAACGAGCGTCTGACGCTGACACTCTGCTCGAGATAGGTTGGACTTCTAATTTTGCAGCGTCAACGGCGCGTCTCCAAGGTTTTTAGCAGGAGAAAGACAGGAAATAAACACGCGGTGTCAAAATAAACTTCCGATGCCCTTTCAAAATAACTTAACCAAAGTCAAGACAGCGACGTAAACAATGCGCACTGCATCCAAGGAAAGGTTAATGATGGACGACGAAAAGTTAATCCTCGAAGTGGAGAAATATAACCTAATTTACGATGTCAGACACCAATTCTGCAAGGACTCAGGACTAAGACAGGACTAAACCGGGCCTAAACCAGGACTAAACCAGAACCAGGATTCACTGTCTGAATGTGCTCGGAGGTCCTTCCGTGTAGACCCGAGTGACCGCGGGTTAAAGGACTGGTGCAGAGCTCGGAGACGAGGAGGTACGTGCAACTGTCGCTCTTTTCGGACACCCTGCTCCGTGGGGCTCAGGGTTCGCTTTCTCTCTCTCTCTCCAAGATTAGTCCTGGTTTAGTGCTGGTTTAGACCTGGTTTAGACCTGGTTTAGTCCTGATGTAGACCTGGTTTAGTCTTGACCTGCCCTTAAAATTCTAGAACGTTAAAACTCACCCGTTTCAGCAACTATTTGCCCGTATCCGTCGGTGCAGGACTCTGTATCCACATATGAACGTATCGGCCTTATTACCTGTACAGAGATTTTAATCACACTCATAATGTATGTTAATTATAAGTGATTTCACCTTATTAAAGAAAAAAAAAGAAAAGAAAACTGAGGTGTTTAATGTGAGTGCTAATAGATTTAGACCCCATTAAATGCAACTGTGTTGCAGTTGTACACTTAATACACATTCTAACTTAATACACTTTAACATAAAATAAATTATAAAAATCAAAATGTGATGTCTGAAAACAGTGAGAAGATGGGGTAAGACTTAAACTTAGATGAAATTTATTGATCCACAAGGGAAATTATTTGGACACAGTGGCTCACACATCACAATATATTATAATAACAATTAATGCAAAATATAAATAGAAATAATAAATTCAGAATAAGTAGCAAAATAACAAGAGACTGGAGTCAAGGAAGGCATAATTATATGAATGCATATACAAGTAAAAAGTAATATCTCTCAGCTATATACAATAGGTCGTAAGGAGAAAACAGCGCAAACCAAAGATGAAATAGTGATTGACGTGACAGAAAGTTCTGTCATTTTGTCTATTACATAAGGGTGAGTTATTGTACAGTTATATGGAATGAATGTAGTTTTTTTTTTTTTTTTTTGTTAGTATACATCTGCATGGCTTGTCAGTAACATAACATTTTTGAAGTTTGAGGCTAACTCTATGTTTAGATCAGACACTACTGGTCAAAAATGAAGTACAGTAGCTACAATTTAATGGGAAACCAGATCATTTTGTAACTATCCTCTCTCAATGTAGTGTCACCATCAGAAAGATTCTAACGGCTAATCTAATGCATGGTGGAAAACAACAAACTTCCTGCCAATTATTACTTCATACTGGTTCTGATCATTGCGGATACAAGCTGTCAACTCATTCAAAACAATGTCATATTTGCCGTTATTAGTCATTGTCAACAATAGACTTCAATAGCATTAGCTTCATAACAATAAACGCACAAAACTTTTCCCCTTTTGCACGTCTTGTCAATAAAGATGCAGCCTGCTGAGTTGACTTAAGGCTAGCCTCTGTCTGCATGTCTCCTTGAATGAATAGCTTGTGGTTTGCCTGAGCTTGGACATGTTTACTCTGGCACTTTGCCATGTTTTATTGCCTGTAGTGTACTATGCTTTACTCCCTGATGCTACTCATTAATTTGACTGATGATATAATGGAGTTAGACATTGAGTTCCTATTGGATTAAGGAGATCCAGTTGACTGTACTTTGTGTATTTAAGGCTTTACTGAAGCACTTGCTGAGTATTTAGTTTTTTCAGTTTGCTCACAGGTGGAAATCAAGGGCTTTTAGTTTTAAACAAGTAAGCCTGTATGACCTTTTGACTTGTGGTTAATTTAGGGTGTGGTAATAATAGGTACTGGAGTGGTTCTACCAGATGACATAATAAACGATGTATTAGTTGCAACAAGTACTTGATTATTGTACTTAATACCGCAACACTCAATGTATTTCTAAGTATGGGGTAGGCCTGTAATTACTGTTAAATAATAAGTACTATGACGTGTTCAGTGATACCTGGAACAATTTATTTTGGGGTTTAATATTTTATCATGTATACATTTTCTTTGGACTTTTGGAAAATTCTTGGATATTTTTTGGCTATACGAGAAGTAAGCTACTGTTTATTTATTGCTCCCCACATTTTTAACAGTATTGTAGATTTAGTTTAGTAGTTTTTGTGCTTTTAGAGTAGTTTGTGTTTTGTCTTGGATTATTGTGTCTGTTGCATAAATTAGTTTCAATATTCTTTATTGTCCATATTTACTTCAACGATATTTTGTACTTCAAAATTTGTTCTTGTGACAGGTCTAGTATGGGGTTGGTGAATACTTATTTCTTAATCGAAGTTGCAATAGATTTTTTATATTATTATTTTTTTCACAAGACATCTTCCACATCTGTTCACGCCTTTCATGTCCACACTTAATCCGTTAAGACTTTTTATTTACTCAGGATTTAAATTTCGCATAAAAACTCAGTCTGGTTTATCGCTGTTTGCAGTTTGCAGTGTTGCAGGACTATTCTAAAGAAAAACCCGGTGCCATTGGTCTGCTGCACGAAGACCGCACCAAGCACTGCTCTGCCAACAGTGGCTCCAGTAATTATAGACCAGTGCTGTGGTAAGCATGAAACCAACCCCACCATTTCAGTCCTGGTATTTGCTCTTTTCAGTAAAACGCTGTTATTTTTGGTCCACTCCTGTGCGTTTGTAGTGCAGCTGGAGGGAGGGGAAGTTTTGCAGTTGAGTGGACATCCAGTGAGTGAATAAAAGCAGTTCTAGTAGCCCAAGGATGTTGTTAACACTACAGAGACTACATTGACTTATATTCTCTTCTTGAATCTGCTGCAGGGGAAAGAATCTGGACAAATATTACAAGTCATAGGCATGTTTTCATCTTTCAAGAAAGATGAGAAGGCTATTTTTATATAATTATACTTTATTTGACACCAGTCTTTTGCTATTTTTGTGTGAGCTACTGTGTCCAAATAATTCCCCATGTGGATCAATAAAGTTTAAAGTCTAAATATAAATTATTTGAAGAGTGTATTAGGGCTGCAAGACTAATCATTTGAATGAATGTAATTAGCAAAATCGCAAAGACTGCAATTATTGAAGTACCATCATTTCCTCCACAAAAAAATAAATCTTACTCTGCACAAAAACTGCTAACCCTGTAGTTTAGTTCTGTACAGAGTATACGTTTTCTGAAATCTGATTCTTTTAGTCAATTCTTCTGGACACGTTTAAAATATGATCTTATGTATTGTATAAACAGGTTTTCTTTCTCTAAACAAGCAACAGGTGCACATGCTCTTTCCACAGAGCCAAAATCATCATCTCATTGTTTAAAAATTGCTATTGCAACTTTTTAATTGAGTATTTTCTTCTGTCAACTCCTGGTTTCTCCCCTTCCTCCCTCATCATGCATTCTCTCCTGTCTAATTTGATAAACAGACCTCAGTTGTTTTATTTATGGTTAAACTAGGCTGTAATTTAAAAAAAAATATATATATCAAATTTGAGTTCAGATTGGGTTCAGATTTTCTTCTCGTGTCAGCCGCTCTTCCCCTCATATACAGTGGCAGTATTCACTCTTCTCCCACAGAGCAGCCCTGACAGCACTTAATCTGCACGTGATATGAAGCCTATTGATTTGTATGGGGATGTATAAAAGTGATGGATGCCGTTGAACTGCCTGCCTTGCCATTATCAGATGATACTGAACAAACAAAATTATAATTGGCAATTAACCACAGCTATTACTGTTAATCATTTCTGCCTGGAGTTTATTGACCCTCTGGGCTGTTCAGATTATAAACATTGTGGTCAGTGTATGCTCTGTGCTATTATAAAAGGAAGCCCTCGCTTGCTCCTGTTTTTGAGACTGGGCTAATTACAAAGGCTGGAGGTAGCTGTGGGCCTCTCAAATTGGACTGTAGAGCTTGGGTGGCATATTTTGTAACTCCTTATTCTGTATGTAGGATGGTATGTAATATTATTAGGGTTTTGCGTTTGCGAGTTGGGATTTTGATTTCCAAGCCTAATAAAGTTATACAAACCAATTTCGGCAAAGGTGGTGTTGTGTAAAATGTAAACAAAAACTAAAAAGATTGCATGAGTTGTATTCTACTTAAAGGGACAGTTCAGAATTTTGGACATAGGGCCTCATTTCCTGTGGAGATGTGTGGAGAAGCTTTTTTAAATATTCCATTCAGTCCTTGTATTTGCAGGTCACTGGTGTTAGGCTAGGCATGTCAATAGCCATAGTTAGCCTGCCACTAAAAACAGTTTTACCCACTCCACAAAACATCTGAGGCAAATCTATTATTACGCTAGACTATCAATGTAAATGTCTGTGTTGTATGTGACATTTTTTGTTGGGGGTCTGACTACTGCTTGTCTCCATGGGTACGGTATTGCTTTGCCTGGAATCCTCCACTAAACAGCTTTAACCTTATCTATCTTGTATGTATTCAATTATAGGTGTTAGTATTTAAAGAAAAAACACACAGAGTGGGGTTGCCTTTCCACAGATCTAACCTGTTACTTGGCCTGGTTTGTTGCCTGGTTGTCTCCATGGGAATAGATATGTTTAATGCCATACTGCAGAACTTTCCATGTAAAGCAGTAAAATCTCCATGGAGACAAACGTGCCAGACTTTCCACTAGAAAAGTTGCATAGTCCACCTTTATGATTTACATTCAATAACCTGTTCTCACACTATTAACAACTCAATACTAACTTCTTTTCTCTTTCTTGTGTTCAGTCACAATGAACGGAAGGTGACCTGCAAGCATCCTGTCTCCGGTGTCCCCTCTCAAGACAACTGCATCTTTGTCGTCAGCGAACAGTAAGTCTCTGTTAGAATGCCACTGGTTGACATTTCTTGCTGTCTGGTTTGTTGTTGTGTAGGAGCTGTTACATAAGTTCATGTCCATCTCTGTACAAGTTGCATGTATTAAAGATGCTGTATTATGCAAAATCAACTCTATGAGCTTTTAGCCATGTTTGAATGTTGTTACCTCATCAAAAGCATACCTGGAGTTGTGTTTTGTTTGAGTAACCCTTTATTATTAGTCTATCTACATTTCCGAAGCTCAAAATGCTCTGTCCTACCATGGGATGTCATGAAGCGGTAGTTTTCAAGTTCACAGCTACTATTGACCTTTAGTTCAGTAGAAATGGGCAATTCCAGCTCAGAAACTATCCAAATGACTCTAGTGAGTTTAAAAACACAGTAGAGCACTTCTTTTCACAAGATGTAACGCAGTGTTTTCTGTTTGAGAGAAAAACTCAGCATATATATGCAAGGTTTGTGTGTTAAACATGTGTGAATGAAGCAAAACACAATTCCAGGTACGTTTACAATGAGGAAACAACATTATAACGCAGATCAGAAAATAGCACGATATGGACCTTTTAAAGTGTTTTTAAATTTATTGCCTATTACAATGTACAGTAAGTCCGAATACCCGCCGATGTTTCGAAATGTCAGTATTTTGAAATAGGATTGACAAGTCGTGCACATACCAGAGTCGACAATACGCACAGCCGTGCCTGCACTAAGCCTGTCATTGTCTCCGGTGTGCTACAGCTCGTGGGAATGCGATGATTCATGGATGTTTCTGTTTTGTGACCTTCTGCGGAGTTCAGAGCCTGTTCATTTGTCATAAACACATAGAGAGTATATGTCAAGAGTCCGTCCCCTACAACTCCTTCTGGACCATGTGATCGGTGTGTTGTGGCTGTCACATGGTCTCCCACATGACCCCGAGGAGCCCAAGCACACGTCAGATGGACTTATGTGCAATAAACAGGGTGTCACTACATTTCTGTCAGCCAGGGCTGCTCTATATGGAATAACTTGTACTGTGGAGAATATTGTGGTATCAGTCTAACTTAAAGGTCCTACATTACGTAAAAATGGACTGTTGTGACCTTTAAGCCATGTTATAATGTTGTTGTCTCCTCAAAAAGTTCTGTTTTGTTTAATCGTTTATTAGGCTGTACACCTCCGAAGCTCAGAATGCTCTGTTCCACCTTGTGATGTCATGAACTGGTAGTTTTGAAGTTAAGACCTTTTATTCAGTAGAGGTGGGCAATTCATGGCTGAAATCATCCAAATGATTTTAGTGAAGGTTATGGTGTTTAAAAACACAGTGGAGCACTATCTATATTACCACATCACATCACAAAGTGGAACTGAGTGTTTTCTGTTTGATAGAAGAACTCAGCGTAAATATGCAGGGTCTGTGTTTGTCGAACATGTGTGAATGAAACAAGACGCAGCTCCGTATGTTTCTGATGAGGAAACAACAATTTTAACATAGATCAGGAAATAGTGTAATATAGGCCCTTTAAATGTGTTCTGTGTTTCTGGAGAAGTTTTTGTCTTCTACTTGTCTCCATTTGGGCTGAAGGACTTGGGCCATTAGGGTTAGGACTGAAGAATTTCTTGGTCAACTAAAGACATGTCCTGTTGATTGATTAGTCAACTAATAAGTCTATGATGTATCTCAAAGCATCTGCCTCCAACTGCACTCATATGACTGTGCAGAAGATCATTCAAAAACAACAATTTATACAGAAAAGAAACAATATGAAGACAGATTAAACTTGTGACTCATGAGTTTAATCTTTTTATAAATAAACACCAAATCTTCAGTTTACTCACTTACTCACTAACTTCTCACCATCAATTGACTAAACAAGTGTGCCTTGAATATTCCAATGTATAGCATTGAAAATCTGTCTCCATGGTAACACCATCAAGTAGTTATGGGTAAGATCTGTGGAGAGATGATAACACAGGGGGAAAAAAAACAAAACAAAAAAAAAACTGAAATTGAATAAATGCAAGAATTAAGTTTAGTGCCAAACGGTAGAACACCTATGTGCACCTATAAAATTCTTATTTATCTGTAGGCTAAAGTGCAAGTCTTTGTTTAGTTAGAATACATTCACCCTTCACATACACCACTTCAAATTTTGGATTAGACCTTGGCTAAACTAGGACTAGCACATGACCAAACCTAGTCCATATTAGGATTACTGTGCTTACTCAAGGACCAAATCAACTATGAATGACTTTAAAGGCTGGGCAATATTGTGATCTGATCCGTGATGATTTGTGGTTTGATGATATCATTGTGATTCAGTGATTTTCTGTTTAATGCAGCTCTCAGCTCAAAACAGACACCTCTCCCCACCCACTCGTCTTATCCTCCCTCAGGCTCTGAATGAGTGACAGGTGGATGTAACATTTTAAAGTCAATATACTGAAAGAAAGTACACAACTGCTCCTTTATGTATTTATACTACATCCATCATTGTAAATCACATTGCCTGATATTTAAAGCCACAGTATGGAACTTTCTGGCAGTGGTCCGTCAAATGCGTGATTCCATGGGAAAAGTCAGACTACACTTTGTAAAATTCTCCCTAGAGATAAATAAATTCTTTCCCATACTGTGGAATATTATAGGCAAAGGAACAACATGTACATGGAAGCAGGCAGGAGGAGCACCCTCTCCAGGCCAAATAATAGTTAGGTTTGTGAAGGTGCAAGCCTGCTTAGAGTAAGGACACATGTTTTTTAATGCAATACACACAACCTAACTGTGACTTTAACTTCTTAGGTTCTTTTTAAAGACATTGGCCTAACTGTGACTTTAATGCAATCAGTAGCTCTAGCTGGTCCCAGACTCTGGAACAGCCTTCCTCTGGGCATTAGAACAGCCCAATCTTTAAATATTTTTAAAATCTTTGTTGAAAACTCATTTGTATGTACTGGCTTTTAAAACAATCTGAGCGGGACATTTGTATTGTATTGTTTTATTGTGTTTTAAATGTATTAGCTTGCACTTTATATTACCTTTGTACAGCACTTTGGGCAACTGTGGTTGTTTTTAAATGTGCTTTTTAAACAAACTTGACTTGGCTTGACTTTCCAAAAATACCCTCTGTTGAAACCCTATTGCTCTGGTTTAGCCAGTTACAAAATATTGTGTGACAATGGCAAAACCAACACCCACTTTCAGTCACAGTGTAGTCGAATAAGCTGAATCTTTTTGACAATGAAATTTTAACTGACTGTGACAAAGAATAATACACATTTTATTTAATCACCCGCCAATTTCACAATGACAATAATAACGCAATATATTCTGCAGCCCTTCTGTCAACACAGCTCACACTATGTACACTGCTGTCACTTATCCTCTTTACCAACGAGTGCTAATTGAAATCTTGTGTGAATTTCAGCCTCAGATGCTAATTCCGTGGCGACAGTCCAATAAACAGCACTATAAAGTTTCCCAATAAACACTTTAGATGGTAATCCAGTGCTTAATGTGTAGCAGAGAGGCTGTTAGCTGCAGTCAGCGCGTACTTTTGCACAGAACAGCAGATCGGTTCAGCTCGGGTTGTGCATGAGGCGCTACACTGCACTCTCCTGACACATTCCTCCCCTCCCTGTGTTACTCTCACATCTCTGCCGGATTCACACAGACGCAGGCACAAAAATGACTCGCAAAAAATATCTCTCATAAGGCCACTGCAAATGGATGCAGTCTTTCTGGAGGTAATTGAGGTAAAAGTTGCTAAATAAGATGACATTTTTGAGGAAAAGTAAAAGAGATTACATAGGCTTTCGTGCTGAATGATTCATCTTGGGTTTCTTTTGGGTGGCTTTCCTTGGCATAATAGCAGCAGGTTTAGACTAGTTTTAAGGGTACATTGTGTAACTTTTCTGGTGGAGAGTCCATCATATGCTTTTCTCCATGGAGATGTTATTGTTTCATCAGGAATGTTTTACAGTATAGAACTAAACCTTTCTATCTACATGGAGACTAAACCAGAATGCCTGTTTTTCTAGCAATATTTGACCAATAAAACCACTTGTAATTAATAAATGTAAGGTAGAATCATACTGTGGAACATTCCCGGCAGAGCAATGACATATCCATAGAAACAAGCAGATGACAGACTTCCAAACAAAAAGTTGGAAACACACAACAAGTGATTTGTGTAGATCTTGTAGTCAGTTATTTATTTTCATGAGCCTAAGCAAAAGTATTATGGCTGATGTCAAATTGCAGACCATTTGTGTGGTAAAAGGTTTTATTTGAATATATAAAAGTAGTACATTTTTTATTCATAAAGTCATTTTACTGGCCTGTCGCAGTGAGTCTGCCCTGTGAATGGGTGGGATGTATCATTGGGCGTGAACATTTGGATGAGAAGTTGCGAAAAGCCAGTAATTTTCAGTATTAATTTTATGAACCGACTTTTAATTATTTCCATTTAACACAAAGAATAAAACAATTACTTGACATGACTGAATCTCAGTTAGAGGGCCCATATTACTCCATTTTCTGAGCTATGTTATATTGTAATTTCCTCATCAGAAACATACCTGGAGTTGTGTTTTGTTTCATCATCACAAACTATGCATATTTAGGGAGAAAGCACTTTGTTCCATGTTGTGATGACATGAGGTAACAGAGGAAGGGCTCCATTGTGTTAAATTGTGTTGTTTAAACTCTGTACACCCTCACTGAAATCATTTGGATAACTTCAGCAGTGGAATTACTCATTTTTACTGAACAAAAGGTAAAAGGTAGCTGCTAACATGAAAACTGATATTACAAGATGGAACAAGGTGAAGCTTTGGAGATATGGACAAACTAATACTAAAGGGTTACTCAAACATATGTGAATGAAACAAAACACAATTCCAGTTCCAGATATGCTTCTGAGGAGGTAACAGCATCCCTACATGGTTTAAAGCTCACAAGAGTCAGGTTTATGTTATATAGGACCTTTACATTTAGATTAATTGCAGAGCCC